TGTAAGCTCTGGGTTCAGTGGGAGACCATGTCTCCAAAAACAAGGCGGAGAGAGGCTGGAGAGGTGGCTCCAAAGTTAAGAGCACTGATTGCTTCTGCAGAGGACCTGGGTTCGATTCCCAGCACCCACACAGAGGCTCACACCTGTCTATAACTCCAGTTCGGAGGATTTGATGCCCTCTTCTGGCCTCTGAGAGCACTGCACACGATACCCCAGCATACAGGTATTCAAAACAGTGTACACCCATAACACAGAAGATGGTAAGGGAGCCCGGTATCACGGGGAATGGATGCTGCCCAAGATCCATCCAGCTCTCAATGGTGACTATCCTCCCCTTCCAAGGACATTTGGAGCCAAGAAGGGTGAAAAAGGGGTAGGCATAGAGACAGACCAAACATCTGCCCTGCCCTGTCCTGTCCTGCCTCAGTGGTTCCATGGAGCGTTTCCTCCCATCAAGGCACACAACCCACTGAATTCTTATCTGCTTCTGCCATGAGGTGCGTGGAGCAGGGACAATCTCCAGTGCCTGTGGTAGGCACTTAGCTCTTCAATGCAGATATACTCTTTGGAGGTCAGCTCCTTCATGTGTGTGTGGGGGGGGGGAGGGGATAGGATGCCCTGAAATGTGGGCTTCTGTGTCCACCTCCACCTGCCAGGCTGTGGGTATGGGCTCTGGGAGCCTAAGCTGGGGCTGTACAGTATAAAGGTGTGTCCAGCAAGGACTGTGTGCCTAGAAGCACACATGCAGGCTTGCGATGTGTGTACTGCACCTGTGTGTATCTTTGGGCACCTGAGATTGGGAACCTGAGAAAGGATACAGTGTCTCTGTGTACTTGAGGGGTATGCACCTGAGTGAGTGTGTGTGTGTGTATGCCTGCCTAGAAATTAGTCAGCACCTTGGTTAGGGAGACTGCAGCCTTAAAAGCTAAATGAAGCTACGGCCTTGACTTGGGGTGGAGACAGGAAGAGGCACACGGGTGACCATGGAGTGTGTGGATGTGGGTTTGGTTGCTTCAGGCAAGGCTGAGAACATCTTATCTCACATTTAATCTGAAGAATTCAAGATTGGAGATGGAATTCAAGTGTGGGGCCTCCCAGATACTCCATACCACTTCTGAAGATAACCTCAGCTTGCCCTCGACTCTCTGGGACTCAGTTTTCCCATCTGCACAATCTAAAAAGCCCTTTGCTCAGGACCCCGAGCTTCCTTCCCAGGGAAGGCATGTGGCCAAGGCTGGCTGGCCTGAGAGAAAGTGCAGAGCCCACATTCCCAGCTCCCGAGGCCAGGCCAGGCCAGGCAGCCCTCTCCATGACAGACACAGGCAAGATGATGACCACACGCCAAGTTGGCTGCCAGCTTGTGTAAGCTGGCAAGGTAGGTGACATTCTCTGTGGCCTCAGCCAAGTGGCCAGTGCCTAGGAAACATGTTCAGGCCAGCCAGGCTCAACACCTAGGAAGCTTGGGTGGCTTTGAAGTGTCGGAGCTAGAGTGGTGAGAACAAACACAGGAATGCTGTCCTCAGGTACAGACCGCCGCCGCCGCCTCTTCAGATGGGGACCCGTGGGATGCGCCTAGCCCACAGGCTGGGGGCTTCAAGCCCAGGCTGACTACCGACTGCCCTCCACTCCCTGAATCCCAGGATGTCTTGCCCTTCACTTCCTGCCCTGACAGCTTGTCACCAGACCACAGCTACCTGGGCTGTCCCTCTGCCCCCTCTCCAGCTGATGACATCCTTAGTTGGCAGTTTAAATTTGTTTGTTATCACTGTCCTTTTAAAACCCTAACTGTACCTGGTCCAGAGTCCCCTAGATAACTCTAAGTTCACCTCTCTCACTTTGTCTGATAAAGCTGGTCTGCAATCCCAATACCAACCAGCAGGAGGCACACCAGCCTCCTATGGCAGTGGTTCTCAACCTGGGGGTCATGACCCACCAGGGGGGCTGTTGAACAACCCTTTCACAGGGGTCGCATATCAGATATTTATATTATAATTCATAACAGTAGCAAAGTTACAGTTGTGAAGTAGCAACCAAATGATTCTATGGTTGGAGGTCATCATGCTCTGATGACCACAGCATTAGGAAGATTTGAGGATCACTGTCTTACGGGATCCAGCCTCAGTTTCCATTTGATAGATTTAGGTTTCTGACCTTCAGGTTCCAAGCAGGCAAGTAGGGAGACTAAGCAGGCTTTACTAATCTCTGGTGAGAGCACTCAAACCTTATCTAGTCTAACTGTGCTAGCAGTTACAGTTCCATGAGGATCCTTTCCTTTGGCTCTCAGACTACGGAAACAATGGAATTTCCCAGGAAACCCTGGAGGAATGGAAAAGCTGAAGCACGGGTGAGAGCCAGAGAGACTTTTCTCCCGAGAGGCCAGGCGTGGTGGTGCACACCTTTAGTCCCAGCGCTTGGAAGGCAAAGGCAAGATCTCTGTAGGTTTGAGGCCAGCCTGGTTCCGGGACAGCCGGGGCCACAGAGTGAGACTTTGTCTCAAAAGTAAATGAGCAAACAAACCGAGAGGCGATGTCCCTCAGTTGTGACCACTTATCTAGAGCTCAGGTAACGATGGCCCGGCCACACCTTGAGCAGGATCGCTCAGTATGCACTGCCTCTTGCCCTGTTTAAACCTAAGCCTGTGTCAGGACGACAAAGATGGACTTGGGGGGGTGGTCACTGGACCTCTTTGTTTCTCTTCCCGTTGTGGCTACATTGAGCAGCTCTCCATCATCTACCTTTTAATTAATTAATAATTAATTAATGAGACAGGGTTTCTCTGTGTAGCCCTGGCTGTCCTGGAACTCACTCTGTAGACCAGGCTGGCCTCGACCTCAGAGATCTGCCTGGCTCTCCTCTTCAGTGCTGGGACTAAAGGTGTGCACCACCACTGCCCGGCTTGCCTTTTACTATGAACTGTCTCTTTAACTGGCTTATGGGGGGAAGGTGGCAGGGCTCAGCTCCTCAGGGGCAGCCAGGGCCCATGCTCTGACCCTAAGAGCTCCAGTTACACTTGAGGAGCACTCTGATTCATTCATTATTGCCACCAACAAAACGTCTCTGGGCGCCCAGCCTTCCCCGGGTCCAGGGAGGAACCAGCTTAGGAGGAGGCAGGGAGCCTGCCTGGTCCTGGGAAATCCATTCTGCCCGAAGCCTTCAGCAAAAATCAGTGTCTCAGACCCAGAGTTCAGCAAGGCATCTCTTTCTACATGGATGCCCACAAGCAAGCCACTCACTCCAGGAGCTTTGTGTTCACAGCCTGGTGAAGGCATCTAGCTGGCCTGGGGGCATCCAAGGTAAAGATGAGATGGGCCCTGAGAAAACGCTGGTGCAGCAGGTGGGCCAGCAGACCTCGAGTGCTTGGCTTCCACAGCCCAGAGCAGGCGGGTGGGGTGGGGTGGGGTTGGGGGCAGGATAACTCAGGGCGTGAAGCTGTGGGCTTCCTGTTCTGATCACCTGTGTTTGGCCCCTGTAGAGGTTGGGGGAGGTGGGTGGTGGACAGATGTTACCCTCCATTTTTGGCAGGTGCTGGCACTGGGTGGAGCCGGAATCTCTTGGGCAGCCCTTGGGGCCATCCTGATGTTTCCCAGCCTTGGCTGGAATGTGATGGAAGACCCTGGGGGAGAGCGCGGGGGTGGGGAGAGTTTGAAAAAGAGACTATTCCAGTCTCTACCAGCCCGGCTCTTGGTTCCCTCCGCTGTCTCCCTCCTTCTGAAGGTCTTGTCCCAGGGGGCAGGGAAGCTGTCTTTTTAGGTCTATGTTCCAGACCCAGCAGGCAAGTGAGCAGACCCAGGACGCAGCTCTCAGCAGTTTACTGAACTCTTCTTGGACAGCATGAGTCCCAGCACAAGTCTGGCAGCTCCAGAGCCCGGATGACGTCAGGCATCACCTGCCAGGTCACCGGCCAGGTGGAGGAGATACCAGGAGAGGGATCAAAGGAAGGATTTTCCTGGTCTACCCCTGGGGAAAGGGCAGGTCTGCTCCTGCCACTACACTTGCAGGCAGACGGCCTGACAGCCCCATTTTACAGAGGGGAAGACTGAGAGTGCAGCTGGCTCTCCTGGAGAAGATTTCCCTCCATGTTAGAGTGATCCTGCCTCCCTGGAGGGTGCCCAAGGCGGTAACAACCCAGAAGCAGACGTTTCCTGCGAAGGGGCTCCTCCCAAAGAGCCAGACAGCCAGCAGGAAACCTGGCTAGAAGCCCCACCCTGACTGAGCCTCGCACTGCACCCCTCCGGGAAGGGACACCAGTCACAGCCTAAGACCGGAGCCTGGTAGGCAGGGTCCGCGCGTCCACCTGAGCAGGGCACCCTCAGACTCAGAGAAAGCCACACGCCCAAGCCTCTACGGGAAAGGAGGACTGGACCTCTTGCCTCACTTTGAGAAACAGGCCTGGGGATACACGGGGAGTTCAATCCAGGAGAGGGACTCGGAAGCCCCCAACCCTCTGGACTCTCCGGGTCTCTCTCTACGTGGAGCCTTCGCGGCGCACAGGATCCAAGAAGGAAGATCCAGAAGTGACCTCGATACTCCACCTGCTCCTCAGACCCTGTGACTTGTGCCCTTCCCTGGGTCCTCCAGGCAGGAGGACCATGTGCGTCACAGGAACCCGGGCACCAGGCTCCTTCTTGCCACGGACTGCGCGGTCACTCGGGGGCCGCCCTGTGCCCACCCCTTTGCAGCCGCTCGCTCCCTCTGGGATTCCTCGGACGAGGCCCAGGACAGGGAGTGGGGCCCGGAACTTCTTACCAGTGAGCCCAGGCAGCGGTGGCAGACGACGGAGCAGGGCCGGGAGAGGCGAGCATCCCGGGTTATAAGCACAGGGCCTGGGGGGCAGGAACCTGGGACACGTGGGAACGGGCGCGCGACAGGCCCCGCCCTCGGGCCCGGCCCCCGCCCGGAGCCTCTCAGAGCGCTCGGCCACCTGCGAGTGGGCGTGGCCCGCCGTTCTCTGCCTGCTGGCCCCTCCCTCTTCTCTCGGCGCCAGCACAGCCTCCCGGGGGCGCACGGGCGTGGGCGTTTGCAGCTTGGGTCCCCAGATCCTGGCCGGTGAGTGGCGCCTCGGAGGGTGGCGAAGGCTGGAACCCGCGTGACTGGCAGGCTGATAGCAGACGTCTTGCAAAAACCCTTGAAAGTGCTTCAAACGAAGCTGCTTAGTAGGCTCAGAGGGTGTGTACCCACGTCATTTAGTGACGAAAGCATCCGCCCCTAGAGCCCCTCGCTTCCCCTAACGATGGCCCCCAAGCCAGAGCCAAGGGTCCGCGGGACAAAACCCAAAGGAGTTCGCTGAGGAAGACTAGGGATACCATCTTAAAGACCTGACTGTCTCCCCTCAGCCTGGCACCTGACCAGATTGCCCTGAGCTCGCAGTAAATGGTGAATCAAAGCCTGGCTGTCTGCTGACCCATCAGAAGACGGGGAAGGTGGAGGTTCACAGAGGTGAAGCCGCTGGCTTGTAAAATGAAACTGGGGGTTGTGGCCCACAAGAGCCAGAAGGCTGTGCCAGAGGCTTCCCAGCTTGGCCTGAAGCCATGCAGCACGCAGGACAGCCCCTGCCCCAGTGAACCCCAACACCCAGGATCGTGACCAAGGTCACCACCCCACAGGGAGGCCTAGATTCTAACCCTCAGCCCTCTCCACACCCATGCCTTGTCCAGCTTGCCTTATTACGTCACCCTTAGACTCTGGGTGCCCTCTGGGGGCCTCCTCACTCTGTCTCCTGATTCTGCAAGGCCAGGGACAGCATCTGTGGGGGCTTCTAGGAGGAGAAGGTGGCAGACACATTTGCCAACACAGCTGTAGGTGCAAAACTCTCTTGAGCTCCTGGCCCTGGCAGGATGGCCCCTGATGGTTACGGGGGGCGGGGGGGGGGGCGGGGACACGACACGACTAGATGTCCAGGGGCTGCTTGAGGCTCTAAGGCAGCTGACCTGGGAGCACTCACTGGACCAGCTCTGGGCCTTCTACACTGACAGGGACCGGCGAGGGTCACCGAAGAGAACACACCAGCAGCTTTTGAGCTACATTGAGGCCATTCTTTCCTATTTGCAGGCTGAGCTGCTTCTCTGTAGAGGTGGCCCAGGGCAGGGCAAATGTTTGTATCAGTCTCCTGTTTCCATCGTCACCACTACCCTTTATTAACTATATAATTTTTGTCCGAATTCTACAGTCAGGAACAGAGGGTGTGTCTTTCCCAAGGCCACACAGCATGGCGCGAACAGCAGAATTAGAATCCAGCAGCTGAAGCTCTGGCCCAACCTTTTGTTCTAACTCAGGTTTGAACTGAACTGGTAGAGGGAGGAGCTGTGACCCCAGGGTCACAGGCAACAGGGACCTTTACCCCCTGCTACAGGAATGACTCCAGTCCAGGAGACTGACACATGGGCACTGGGAACCTGAGGGGGCAGTGGGAAGAAAACGTTCGACTTATGAGCACCAGGAGGCAGAGGTCAAGTGCAGGGGCCTCGCTGGCTCCTGGATGAGCCATGTTCTCTTTGCTCCTCCACCTTCCAGGTAGACACTCAGTCCAGCCCACCTCCACTCTGCAAACCAGTTCTGGAATTTGGGTGGGGCATGACCCAAAGGATTCACCCCTGGAGATGAGTCACCATGACCTTATGACCTTCACCTTTCCCCCTTCCCACACCAAGGCCAGGGCTCCTCAAGGATCTAGGTAAGTGAGAAAAAAGAAAAGAGAGAGAGGGGGGGGGCGGGGAGGGAGGAAGGAAGGAAGGAAGGAAGGAAGGAAGGAAGGAAGGAAGGAAGGAAGGAAGGAAGGAAGGAAGGAAGGCTCTCACTATGTATTCCTGGTTGGTCTAGAACTTGCTGTGTAGACCAGGCCTTGAACTCAAGGAGATTCACCAGCTTCGGCCTCCAATGCGACTCTACTTCCTCCACACTTTACTTCCTTGTTTTGTTCAGACCCCGGACTTTTCTTGCTCCAATCTCCATGCTGTTTCCTGCGTAACTAGATTGTCCCAGCCCTTTCTCCACCCAGCAGCCAGAGGCTTCCTGAAAACGTGAACCAGAACAAGGCCACCCATGCTCTTCTTAAAGCTCTTTGATGGGCCCACAAGAAGGCTCACTAGGGAAAGGCCCTTGTTACCAATCCCAGTGGCCTGAATTTGACCTGAGGGGCTCACAGGGTGAAGGGAGAGGACCAACCGATTCCTTTAAGCTGTCCCTTAGCGTCCACACGTGCACCAAGGCACACATGCAAGCCCCAAGAGACAAATAAATCAAGAAGAAAAGAACGAATTCTTTGGTGATTCATCACTCCCTCCTCCATGTTACTTTATGGCTGTTCCAGGTGATTGTGTAAGTGTGGGTCTGTTTCTTGCACGCCTGTCCTGCTGCAGAGTGTGCTGTCTGGATTTTTGTAGCTTTACACTGAGACTTGAAGTTTAGGAAATGACCCTTTGGCTATTTCATGCTCTTGACATTTCCTGCCATGTCTGTAAAAAAAAAAGCCTGCTGGGGCTGGGGCTGGGGCTGGGGCTAAGTTGGCAGAGTACTCACCAGCATGTACTAAGCCTGGGTTCCATCCCCAGCACCACACCCATCATCCAGCACTTGGGACTTAGAGGCAGGAGGATTAGAAGTTCAAGGTCAGGTTGGAGATTTAGCTCAGTGGTAGAGTGCTTGCCTAGCAAGCACAAGGCCCTGGGTTCAGTCCTCAGCTCCAGAAAAAAAAAAAAAGAAGAAGTTCAAGGTCATCCTCGATTACATAATGAGTTTGAGACCAGCCTGGGCTATGTGAGAACCTGTTTCCTACCTGTTGGGGTTTGTATGTGGTGCTGACAATCAAACCCAGGGCTACCCCCACAAATCTATACATATAAATCTACATATCAGCATTTTCCAGTACATGAACATGGCTCATCTCTATCTCTCTTTGTAACTTCTTAATTTTTTGTTTTGTTTGTTTTTTCAAGACAGGGTTTCTCTGTGTAGCTTTGTGCCTTTCCTGGATCTCACTCTGTAGACCAGGCTGGCCTCGAACTCACAAAGATCTGCCTGCCTCTGCCTCCCAAGTGCTGGGATTAAAGGCATGCACCATCACCGTCCTGCTGTAACTTCTTAACTTTTAACATAAAGAAACCCTAAAAGGGACTGGAGAGATGGCTCAGTAATTAAGAGCACTGACTGCTCTTCCAGAGGACCTGAGTTCAATTCCCAGCACCCACATGGCAGCTCATAATTGTCTGTAATTCCAGTTCCAGGGGACCCGACATCCATGGCAAAACACATAAAATAAAAATAAATTAAAAAATAAACCTTAAAAATATTAACAAAATATTAATTACCATAGTAGGAGCAACAAGAAAGGTATGAAAAGAGTTAGGTCAATGTGTGGGAGGTAACATCCTGATGTGGCCTTCACTATGGGGAATTCGGGTCTCTAGTTTAAACTAGAGACATGTCCAAGAAACCATGGACATTTATACTCTTTTGGAGGATGGGGTTGAGATTCACTCTATTATGTAGCTCTGGGATAGCCCGGTACTCTCCATGGAGCCCAGGCTGGTCTCAAATTTGCACTGATCCTCTTCCTTTTGCTCTGAATGTTGGGGTACAGCCTGATCACTGCACCCAGCTACACTTCTTTTGTTTATTATGTACTTGCCAGTACAGGAATTGAACTCAAGGCTTTGTACATGCTGTGCAAGCGCACTACAGCCTGAGCTACAACTCAGGCCTGGAAGTCTTCACTCCTGAGAGGCAGGAGTCTGTCGGGTGTGGGGCAAGAATATTTTAAACATATAGACTAAGGTGGGATTGGTGGCACAGGTCTGTGATCCCCATTTCTTGGGAAGCAGAGACTAGATAATGTTGAGTTTGAGCCCAGCTGAGGCAACAGTGAAAGCCCTTTTCAAAAGACAAAGAGAAATGCTGTCTAGATAGCAAGCCCCAATGCTGGAAGAGATGGGGTTTCATAAGATGCCTTCAGCTGCAGGCCTGAGGATGAAGCTCAGGCACAGTGCTGGACTAGCATGCATGGAGCCCTGGGTTCAGTCCCCAGCACCACATAAGCCAAGTATGGTGGCTCATACTTGTAATCTTGGCTCTTGGGAGATGGAGACAGGAGGATCAGGAGTTCAAGGTCATCCTCAGTGATACAATGAGCTTGAGGCTAGCCCAGGACTTAAGAAATCCTATTACACACACACACACACACACACACACACTATACGTGTCTCTATGAGTATATGTACACTTGTGGGTGCTGGTACAAAGTTCATAAGAAAATGTTGGGTGTCCTCTTCTATCGTTGTGTGACCTCTATCCCCCTCTACCCCTGCTTGAGCTGGGGCTACAATCAGGGGACCCTTGGCTTGTTATGTGGGTCTCGGGATCCGAACTCTGATCCTCATGGCTGTGCAATGCAGAGGTACAGAATCATCTCTCCACCTCCTGAACGGACAGAACAATTTCTTAAAAACACTGACGGCCACCATCTCTCCTTGGATCAGAGTGAGATGCCTATACCCTCCTCTTGGCCACCATCTGTCATGCTCTTGTGTCTGGATGTCCCTGGGCTTGTTTGCATGTGTGAAGTCCTTTTCTGCAGTGTGCTCTTTGCACGGGACAGAGGTCCTTTGGTCCTTTCTGACCCCTCCTCCTCTCTAACCATATACTGTCAAGTTAGCACGTGGCAGAGACCTGATGTGTCCACCAGCATGATTCGAAGAACGTGAGGCTCTGGTCCCTTCCCCTTGTCCCTCTGCTGTGGTCTTAGTGTCTACTACCATAACCTCTTCACCTCTGCCTCACCCCTGGCTTCCCACCTGTGCTTACCATGCCCTAGAAGGCATGCTCTGTATTGCAGGTCTCTTGAGGTGCAGGCTCAGACTGTTGTGACCACTTGAACTGAAGGACAATCTCAATGTATGTGATCTGACAGACTCCCCCCAGCAACCTACGGACTGACCTAGGTACACTTAACTTATGCACATAGCTGTGGAGAGGCCTCTTTCTCTCGTCTGTTCTCTGCCACCCAAGGGCTCTGTAGCTGTTGGTGTCAGAGGAGCCTGAGAGTGTATTCAAGGTCTTTCCTCGGCAGCTTCTTATGATTGGCACCAGAAGCCACCGTGTCATTGCCCAGGTTTGGGCAGAATGGCCAGAACAGAGAATGACCTTCAGGTTGGACCTCGGCTTGCGCCTCCCATCCAGAGGAACACAGCGTCCAGTCGCTGGCTTCTTGGAAACGCTGCATCAGGAAGTTTAATGAGTGACCTACCAGGCAGAGCTGTTTTCCACCACTGATGGTGGGAAGAGCCTCAGAGGTCAGGTGCCCCAGGGACGGGGTGGCTAGATGGAGCTGTGACCAATGGCAGCTGGTAGTGACGGGGTGGAAGTGGAAAACACCTCTCGGGGGTCTGGGTCCAGATTCAGCTCCAGCAGAGACACCTCTGTGGCTTCCTTATGAGCCGACAGCCCCTGTGGGTGCCCTGGGGCAAGCTTAGTGCCCACCAACTGGCTGAGTGATGCTGGGAAACTCACTCTTCTCACTCTCTTGTTTCATAGCCTCAGACAAGAGGGCAAGCAGGGAGGGCTCCTGGGGAGGGGCGCCTCACTGCCTCCCTCTAGCCCCTCTTCTCCTCTAGCTCTGGCCTCTCATCGCCTCCTCACCCTGCTGATTCATAAAACATGGAGACCGACAGCAGCGTAGAGCCTTGTAGGAAGGCTTGGTCAGAAGGGCGTGTGGGTTTAGACAGAGTGCTCTCCTCTGAGCCTCCATTCCTGCATCTGTGAAATGGGGAGATTATTTCTTGCCTCGGGAGCCTCAGGCTAGCTGGAGATTTACCAGACAGTAGCTTTACAGCCCATGGGGTCTGGGTGAGACTGGGGGAGGGTGGGCAAGAGAGCATCAGGAGAGGGGAGCTGTATCCTCCCCCTTGCAAGAATGACCCCGCTGGTCCTCAGCCGCAGAGTGAGGCCCTGTCCTCCTTAGGGCTACAAAGTCCATAAAAAATTAACAGCCCAGCAGAAAGAGCTCAGGCTCTGATTCCTGACCCTCCTGTCTGCAGCAGCAGGAGGGATATTCGTCTCCCGGAGAGACTCGTGGGTGGGCCTGAGATAAATGGAATGTGGTGGGCTCGGGAGGGACACCGCTTCCTCACGGTGCCTTCTCCCACATGGCTCCTCCTCCAGTCTGGAGTTCCAGTCAGAGTGGCTCAAAGCAGGAGTCAGGCTTTTTACAACTTCCATGTTGTAAGTGTCTGAAAAAAGAACAGTTCATGGTGTGAAAATAACAAACTTGAAACGTGGGGAGTGCCTCCCCAGCGCTGAGGGGGTGGGCTGGGGATCCAGGCCAGGGCCGTGGGCCTGCTAGGATCACGGTCCACACTGAGCTAACTCAGCCCTGCTCTCCAAGTTGCAGTGGAATAGAACACACCCATAGAGGCCTGTGTTGTCTCTGGCCGCTTCGGCACACCGCACGCACGCACGCACAGAGACTGAATTGCATCAGAAGTGGGATGTCCCGAAAAGCCCCAAAATGTTTACTCTTTCATCCTTTAGAGACGTGTACAGAACCCTGGCTAAACATAAATCTGTTTGGAAAGTAGACGGCTGACAGGACATGGAGGCACGTGCCTGTAATCCCAGTGCTCAAGGTTATCTTCAGCTACATAGTGAGTCTGGGGCCATCCCGAGCTACATGAGACTCTGTTTCAACAAACAGCCAACAAAACAAAGAAACAAAAACCAAAAACCAAAAAGGAAGTGGATATGCCCTGGAGGAATTCTGTTGGCTGTTATGGCAGCTTACAGTCTAGGGTCTGGAGAGGCGCTCAGGTTGAGAGCCCTGGCTGCGCTTGCAGAGGGCCTGAGTGGATTCCCAGCACCCACATGGTGGCTCACAATTACCTATATAACTCCAGTTCTAGCCTAGGTATCTGGGAGTGGTGGGGCACCCCGTAGTCCACTTGGGAGGCTGAGGGAGGATTGTGGTGAGTTCAAGACCAGTCTGAGCTACAGAATAAGGCCCTGTCTTACTGCTTTCTCTGGGTCCTAGATGAGAAAAAGAATATTCAGGGAGAGATGGCTGTTGAGATAAGCCAGAAATGAGTTATCCCCAAAACCTTCTGCACAAGAGCCAAGCTTTCCACAGCTAGGTCTGGGGGCAGCTGGCAAAAAGGTAGGTCACTGAGGCAGGGGCTTGCCCACCTAGAAAGAAGAGCAGGGGCTGTAGGGAAAGCAGCACCTGGGCCAGCACACAGGAGCAC